TTTAATAGGTGCTACACTAGCGCTCCGCTAGTTCGAATTTGAATCGAACTAGCGGAGCGCTTAGTTCGAACTAGGTAAACCTCATTTTACGAGGACTAACGCCTAGTTCGAACTAGCTAGTTCGAACTAGGCGTTAGTCCTCGTAAAATGAGGTTTTCCTAGTTCGAACTAAGCGCTCCGCTAGTTCGATTCAAATTCGAACTAGCGGAGCGCTAGTGTAGAACCTATTAAAGTTAGTTCGAACTAACGTCCGTTAGTTCGAACTAACTTTGTAGTGTAGACATACCCTCACTGGTCCCATGCTCCCTGCAGCGCTTTTGTCTTTAAAGTGTAGCAACATTCCTGAGATTGTTGCTACACTTCAAAGGCAGAGGCATCTTTATTGACTAATCAAATAGTTGATGCAAATTGCATTGACTATTTGATTAGCCAATTAATCAACATTTTACATCCCTAATCTAGAGGCTTCTGAATAATCTACAAGACATTCATTTCTCCAGTAGGCACATGGTCTAGTTCACAGATTTCCTTACCTTGTCAGAGGGAAGCACTTTGATCTCTACTCATGATGTGATCTGGCTGAACCAACCTGGCCATCACTCACTGATATTATCATAGCAAATAGTGACTTAGCCCTTAATACTAGTTTAGCAAGATTAAGGTTTTGGTTATAAGTTGTCTTTTGGAACTATATTAATTCTTCAGTCTGTATGATCATACAAGGCTGTACCAGACAAAAGCTCTGGCATGTGGAATAAAATTTAATTTATTTGTGATGTTTGTTCAGAACTCTTCCAAACAACAAGCAAATGTAATTATGGGGATGGCTATCACAATCTTTTCTGAGTCTAATTTTCTGTTTTCAGTATTGAAGTGCCCAGCTCTGTGTCCTTCCAGACTGAGTGCTTCCCTTCTGGTTTACAGATAAAATAATAAACTGTATAAGACAGTACTGGAAATGTATAAATTCTTAATAGACCTGCTGACTATAATTCAAAATTATTTTGAAATATATATATGAAATTTAAATATTGCAATGATAGTATTATTTGAGAATATATGTGACTACTTGTTAGTAAATTACTTTCTGTAATTTCTTTTGGACTTCTTGTACATGTACTTCACCACTCTTATTATAGAGTAAAGATGCATGTCCTGTAGGAAAAAGATCAGTATTGTTCCCCACTGTGGACAACATGGAGTTGATCTGTAATAATGTAATGAATGTGTTACACAGTTTATGAGATGCCATACTGGATTAGTTGAATGTATGAATGCATACACTTTAAGAGTGGGCTGTTGGGAAAATTGCAGAACAACAATTCAAAAGCCTGAGATAAATCACAGTCTAGTAAACACTTGAAAGACAATAATCAAGCTAGTAGTTCTGAAGAGGCACACACTTATGTTACACAGTGTGTGACAGCAGAGAGCCTAGAGATCGAAGGGGTAATTAATGGTTAAAAGGATTCCCTGGAGAAAGGGAAGGAAATGTGATATTAGGTGCTTAAGGGTAGACACTGGCAGAGGAAGGAATGGCAGTAGGGCAATATCTCCCTGGAGACAGAGTTAAGGGTTCCTAAATTAAGCACTACCTACCTAATCCAGCAAGGAAAGAATAAGGTTTAGGTAAAATCAAATGCATATAGACTTTTGTTGTTTTAATCCTTTTTTCTGATTGCTATGCAATCTTTGGATGAATAAACCAACATATTTCTTTTAAAGAAACTGCTTTGAGTAACTTCAAAAAACTGCTGGAAGCTAATCATAGAATCATAGTATGACTTCATGTTCATAGCAAGATGAACCCCAACAAAATCATTCCATCCAGGGCTTTGTCAATCCTAGCCTTTAAAGATCTCTAAGGATGGAGAATCCACAACCTCACTAAGCAACCCATTTCAGTGCTTCAGCAACCTCCTGGTGAAATAGTTTTTTCCTAATATCCAACATAGACCTCCCCACTGCAACTTGAGACTGTTGCTTCTTGCTCTGTGATGTGCCACCACTGAGAATAGCCTAGCTCCATCTTTGGAAACCCCCTTCAGTTATTTGAAGGCTGGTATTTCCTAGGCTCCTCATATTTGTCTGCTTTTCAAGAGTCTTGGGTCCATATTCTGCAGCTTCCCTTTTCTCCTTTTTTCAGGATCCCAAACTCAACCACCTTGTGTCACTGCTTCCCAGGTTGCCACTTACTTCTGCTTCTACTACCGATTTGTCCATGCTTGTGAGCAGCAGGTCAAGAGGAGCATAACACCTATTTGGTTCCTCCAGCACTTGAACCAAGAAGTTGCCTCCAGTACTCTCCAAAAATTTTCTGACTGGTTTATGCACTACTTTTTGGTTTTCCTGCAGATGTCAGGGTGATTGATGTCCAGCCTGGGTCTGTGTAAACTTGTGCTAGTTATCTGAGGAAAGTCTCACTTACCTAATGCTTCTGGTCTGGTGGTCTAATGCCCACCATGTTATCGTTCTTGTTGGTCTTGCCTCCAATCTTAACTCCTTTGCCTTTTCTCCCTTTGTTAGGTGGATCTCTTCTCTTCCTAGTAATATTTCTATGGTCAGAGAATCCAATTTCCAGTTTGGGGCCCTGCACTATAGAAAGGACAAGGACAAATTGGAGAGAGTGATTAGGGGCCTGGGAAATGTGATTTATGAGGGGAGGCTGAGAGAACTGGGCTTAATTTGTCTCCAGAATTGAAGAATGAAGGGGATTTAATAGCAGACTTCAACTACCTGAAGGGGGTTCCAAAGAGGATAGAGGCAGGCTATTTTCAGTGGTGGCAGATGTCATAACAAGGAGCAACAGTTTCAAGTTGCAGTGGGGTGCACTGTGTCAGACACCCTTCTAGTGGTCACTCAACATACAAAATCAAGATTATTACTGCTACCAATTTTAGGTTTGAAACCTGTTGATGACTTATGTAAAATGGCAATAATGTGATAGAATTTCTGTTTTTATTCTGTGAAGGGAAAATCCCAGAAGAAAGATGAAATGTATTACAACGAACAATTGTCAATAATATGATGCCACAATATTTACTCTACAAGATTCCTGACAGAGGGTGGCAAGAAAATGATGTTTTCAAAGCACAAGGATGGGTCCCTGATGAGGTAAATTCTATATTTGATTTTCCAAACATCCCCTCTGGGATCTTAGGTAACAGTCAAAGGGTATGTCTACACTGCCACCATAGTTCGAACCAGGGTGGCTAATGTAGGCATTCGAACTTGCAAATGAAGACCGGGATTTAAATATCCTGGGCTTTATTTGCATGTTCCCAGGCACCGCCATTTTTAAATGCCCCGTTGTTTGAACTCCCTGCCCGCGGCTACACACGGCACAGACTAGGTAGTTTGAATTAAAGTTCTTAATTCGAACTACCGTTACTCCTCCGGCAATGAGGAGAAGGGAATGCAGATAGAGACTTTGCAGATGCACTCTGAATTTCTTCTCCAGTTGCTCGTACCCTGCCTTGTTGTTCCTTTGTTTTGCTTACAGTAACCTACATACAAATCCAGTGTTTCTGCACTTAAACTTATTCCAATGCTCTTAATAGAAATATAAGCCGCATGGTGTTATAATTGTAAGCAACCATAAAAATCATTTCTAGTCTGGTGCATTTTCTCTTTGTACTCCTGAAGAAATGCTCAGAAAACAGCTAAATCAAAAAGACCATTTGTTTAAATATGACTGTGAGACTACACGAGGAAGGTAGAAAAAGGGAACTGTTTAAAGGATTAGGCCCACTGTTAAAAGGAATATGCATTATTATGACAAAAAGAATAATGTAATGTCCTCTGCCATTTATGTTATTGGCCCAATATGTGTAAGAGAATTAGGGTGTTCAAAAAGACTTAGTTATTCTCATTGGTGTCTTAATAACAATATATGTCTATTGCTCTTATTCTACAAGTATTATGCAGCAGACTACCAGGTATATCCCTAGATAAGGATAGTAATGAATACATCTGTTGTTGACAAGTAAGAAAGTACATTTAAGATCTGCTCACCTGGCATATAAAATATCATTTGAGACTCATTTGAATCCTAAAGTATGAAGACCTTATTCGCCTAAGGAGATGTAAAGTCTAAGACATAGTTGACTGTACATGCAACTGAAATAGATAAACCCATTTTCTGAATCTTTCCTGAAGGGTAATTTCGACATTAGGCCCTTATTCCTTTCTTAAGCAGTAATTCCTTTATTCCATTTTGTAAATGGATCCTAGCTACAGTACAATCAAGCAAAACCTATTGTAGCTGACACTTGTACTAAGGCTGGGGAAGGGTGTTGTGTGATGCTGTCCAAATACATCAGAAAATAGCTTCTTACATTGGAATTATTATTTCTGGACTAACATTGAATGTATTTAATACATGTAAGGGAATAGATGATATCTCTATGCATGTTTATTAGAAGATTGAATTCTTTAAACATTTCAGCCCCCTCTCCCAGTCTGATGTACCACCATAAACCTGCAAGTTTGTAACTAATTTTACATTATTAACATCAATTGTCTGGTGGTCATTACCATTTCCTGCATCATGAATGAGACCGTTACTTAACATTTTAGTATGGAAAAAAATCCACAAAACCAATTCACTACAATCTTATCTGTATTCGCAGGGAACAGTTGAAACTTTCATTTCAATTTTAGATGTGCCACAAAGTTTCAGAGAAATTTAATGCATCTCATCTGCTTCAATCTGCACCAGTTTATATATAGGCACAGTCTATATGCTAAGTAACAGTCTCATTCATGATGCAGGAAATGGTAATGACCACCAGACAATTGATGTTAATAATGTAAAATTAGTTTGAGATGGCCAAAAGTTTTGTGAGTGAATACACTTGCACACGTTTGCTCATGATAAGCCTGTCTCCCACACCATAATGTCAGGTATGTTTTCTGTACATGCCACATGTATTATGTTAAAGATAGCCAATTTTGAAAATATTTTAGATAATTAAGTGTTTTGGTACTACTCTACATACCTTTCCATTTGCCACACTGGATTCCTGTGTACCATAACTCCAACTATAGAAGCCCCTATGGGAATCAAAAATTATGGCTATTAAAGGTTAAACTCTACTTAATTACTTTTGTATATAGAATCATAGAATCATAGGACTGGAAGGGACCTCAAGAGGGCATCGAGTCCAGCTCCCCGCCCTCAAGGAAGGACCAAGCTCCATCTACACCATCCCTGACAGATGTCTATCTAACCTGTTCTTAAATATCTCCAGAGAGGGAGATTCCACCACCTCCCTTGGCAATTTATTCCAATATTTGACCACCCTGACAGTTAGGAATTTTTTCCTAATGTCCAATCTAAACCTCCCCTGCTGCACTTTAAGCCCATTACTCCTTGTCCTGTCCTCAGAAACCAAGAGGAACAAATTTTCTCCTTCCTCCTTGTGACACCCTTTTAGATATTTGAAAACCGCTATCATGTCCCCCCTTAATCTTCTTTTTTCCAAACTAAACAAGCCCAGTTCATGAAGCCTGGCTTCATAGGTCATGTTCTCTAAACCTTTAATCATTCTTGTTGCTCTTCTCTGTACCCTTTCCAATTTCTCCACATCTTTCTTGAAATGTGGCGCCCAGAACTGGACACAGTACTCCAGCTGAGGCCTAACTAGTGCAGAGTAGAGCGGCAGAATGACTTCACGAGTTTTGCTTACAACACACCTGTTGATACAACCTAGAATCATATTTGCTTTTTTTGCAACAGCATCACACTGTTGACTCATATTCAACTTGTGGTCCACTATGACCCCTAGATCCCTTTCTGCCATGCTCCTTCCTAGACAGTCGCTTCCCATCTTGTATGTATGGAACTGATTGTTCCTTCCTAAGTGGAGCACTTTGCATTTCTCTTTATTAAACCTCATCCTGTTTACCTCTGACCATTTCTCTAACTTGCTAAGGTCATTTTGAATTATGTCCCTATCCTCCAAAGAAGTTGCAACCCCACCCAGTTTGGTATCATCTGCAAACTTAATAAGCGTACTCTCTATCCCAATATCTACATCATTGATGAAGATATTGAATAGTACGGGTCCCAAAACAGACCCTTGAGGAACTCCACTTGTTATCCCTTTCCAGCAGGATTTAGAACCGTTAACAACAACTCTCTGACTACGGTTATCCAGCCAATTATGCACCCACCTTATCGTGGCCCTATCTAAGTTATATTTGCCTAGTTTATCAATAAGAATATCATGCGAGACCGTATCAAATGCCTTACTAAAGTCTAGGTATATGACATCCACCGCTTCTCCCTTATCCACAAGGCTCGTTATCTTATCAAAGAAAGCTATCAGATTAGTTTGGCATGACTTGTTCTTCACAAACCCATGCTGGCTATTCCCTATCACTTTATTACCTTCCAAGTGTTTGCATATGATTTCCTTAATTACCTGCTCCATTATCTTCCCTGGGACAGACGTTAAACTGACCGGTCTGTAGTTTCCTGGGTTGTTCTTATTCCCCTTTTTATAGATGGGCACAATATTTGCCCTTTTCCAGTCTTCTGGAATCTCCCCTGTCTGCCATGATTTTTCAAAGATCATAGCTAAAGGCTCAGATACCTCCTCTATCAGCTCCTTGAGTATCCTGGGATGCATTTCATCAGGACCTGGTGACTTGCTGACATCTAACTTTCCTACGTGATTTTTAACTTGTTCTTTGTGTATCCTATCTTCTAAACTTACCCTCTCTCTGCTTGTATTCACTACGTTAGGCACACCTCCAGACTTCTCGGTGAAGACCGAAACAAAGAAGTCATTAGCATCTCTGCCATTTCCAAGTTCCCTGTTACTGCTTCTCCCTCCTCGCTAAGCAGTGGGCCTACCCTGTCCTTGGTCTTCCTCTTGCTTTTAATGTATTTATAAAAGGTCTTCTTGTTTCCCTTTATGCCTGTAGCTAGTTTGATCTCATTTTGTGCCTTTGCCTTTCTAATCTTGCCCCTGCATTCCCGTGTTGCTTGCCTATATTCATCCTTTGTTAGTTGTCCTAGTTTCCATTTTTTATATGACTCCTTTTTTATTTTGAGATCATTTTATTTTATATAAAACAATGTTTCCTTGTCCAGTATTCTGGAACCATTTTATAACTGGAATCAAATCAGAAACTAGGCACCTGTACATGCTTATGTCATAAAAATTCTGTCTCTAGTCCTCATGCAACTTGAATGATTGGATCTTAAGTCTTCTTACTAATGTAGGGCAGAATATTGCTAATCCCAAACCTCGAGCTGGTGTAATATTAGGAACAAATCCCAAATTTGAGGTAAAGAAAACAAATATTATATGTTTGCTGAATTTAAAAAAAAGAGTATGGCAGCTTTTGAAGTTTCCCAAAGTTCTCAATTAGAAACATTTCTAGGCCATGATCCTGCAATAAGGAAAGCCCCCTTCCCTAAGGCGTCCTTTGGAGCACAATGGGGCACTGAAAGGGTTCTGGGGTTTGAAGAGGTCGAACTCACTCTAGAATGGATCTCTATTATAGATGGTTAATAGGGCAGAATAGAAAGGGGATAACCAAAAGGTATTGCCACCATAGAGATAGGAAAAGGGTGGGGGGCTGAATTCTCTCTAGCTTTCTAACTATTACTGGAATAGCACATTTTGTTCCTCATTTTGTGATTTTTTTGTTGTTGTTTTGTTTTGAGACAGAATTATCTCCATATATGAGGTGCCCTAGACCAAATGTGATATTTCTTATCAGCATTCTACAACTGGAACCATAACTGATTTTTTCCTCACATGCAAATATCAGTAGTGTACCCTTTGATCTATCCCTCTCTAGGCTGTACCATAAGAAAATGTCAGGAGCAAAAGTGAATTATCTTTTGACTACCATTTTTGTTACATTTATAGAAACTTGTGCTGTCAAATGGAGAACATAGCAAGGCTATGACCAATGATTCAAGAGGATACTGCCTGAAAACGATTCTTTCAGATTTAAATTATTCCCCCGCATCTCTCTACAGCATTCCACAAGGTAATGTTAAAATGTAGTTTGCATAGTTTTACATTGTGAGCTTTCAAGAATCATTAAATTGAAGTAATTTGTGGAAAAGAAAGTGGTATTAATACCTCAGGAATGCTACAGCAGGCATGCAAACCTACTATAAAAGCTTAGAAAGCCAGTTAAAATAGAGCTTTGAAACCTACATTTTATTTTGGATTATACAGAAAGAAAAGCTTACCTCTCTGACAGAAGACTTTAGAGAAAAATAGAATAAATGCTAATAAATAAAGTAACTAAATAATAATCATACTAAAACACCAGAGTTTGACAAATACATATACATAAGAAAGGAATCGGAAGCTTTCCTCTCCATCCATAACTATTAATGTTAGGAGGGATAGGTATTACAGTATAATGAGGAGGTTGTGTCCAGATATTCTTTCTTTCTTTAATTTATTCATTTGTTTGCTTATGCAAAACATTTCAACTGGTATGTTTAGACCTCTGCATCTCTCTGATATTTATTAAAAATACAAATAAATGAAAAACAAAGTCTTCCTATAATCAGGAAATAAGGAACCCAATTTATCCACCACTCTCAGCCACCAGCGCAAGCCTCCATTTCTTAATGCTTGGGCGGAGAGATTGACTTTTCAGCGTGTCTTACATATCTATAATTTGAGGTTATTTGGTTGAGGATTTGGAGGTGAGGGGGAAGGGTCACGTGAATTTGAAAGAATTTCCTGTGGAGAATTTCCTATCAGATTTTTTTGTAATATGTTGTGAGAATCCTTGTTCATGGAGATGTTCAAGGGCTCAGAAAACATAAGTAATTCAAGTTTCTCTTGAAAGTGATCTTCACTGACAACCTTTTTCACTTGAGACAAATTATGTAAAGCCTGAGGGCATCTCACAGACAAGAGCTCCTCTCTTTCCACACCAATCTCAAACTTTCAGAAGAGATAACTGTGAGTTTTCCTTCTCCTAAATATAAGAAGCATACAGCAAACTCTAAGAATAATGCCTGGCGTAGGAGCTTTCTCCATGGCATGCATGCACTATTCACCAGCATTTCATAAGGGAGAACTGTGTAAGGACAAGTGTAAGATGGATAGAAAGCTGGCTGGAAGGTTGGGCCCAGCGGGTAGTGATCAATGGCTCGATGTCAGGATGGCAGTCGGTTTCTAGCGGAGTGCCCCAAGGTTTGGTTTTGGGACCGGTTTTGTTCAACGTCTTTATTAATGACCTGTATGAGGGGATGGATTGCACCCTCAGCAAGTTTGTGGATGACATTTAGCTAGGGGGAGAGGTAGACACACTGGAGGGCAGGGATAGGGTACAGAGTGTCTTAGAAAAATTGCAGCACTGGGCCACAAGAAATCTGATGAGGTTCAACAAGGACAAGTGTAGAGTCTTGCACTTCGGACGGAAGAATTTCAAACATTGTTACAGGCTGGGGACCAACTGGTGAAGTAGCAGTTCTGTAGAAAAGAACCTGGGGATCACAGTGGATGAGAAGCTGGACATGAGTCAACAGTATGCACTGTAGCCAAGAAGGCTAATGGCATATTAGGTTGCATTAAGAGGAGTATTGCCAGTCGATCCAGAGATGTCATTATTCCTCTTTACTCAGCTCTGGTGAGGCCACCTCTGGAGTATTGTGTAAAGTTCTGGGCCCCCAATTACAGGAAGGATGTGGATGTATTGGAGAGGGTCCAACGGAGGGCAACCAAAATGATTAGGAGGCTGGAGCATGTGATGTACGAAGGGGCTAAGGAAGTTGGATCTATTTAGTCTGCAGAAGAGAAGAGTCAGAGGGAATTTGATAGCAGCCTTCGAATTCCTGAAGGGAGGTTCCAAAGAGGATGGAGAAAGGCTATTCTCAGTAGTGATAGATGGCAGAACAAGGAACAATGGTCTCAAGTTGCAGTGGGAGAGATCTAGGTTGGATATTAGGATATTTCATTAGGAGGGTGGTGAAGTACTGAAATGGGTTACTTAGGGAAGTAGTGGAGTCTCCATCCCTAGAGGGCTACGTCTAGACTGGCCCCTATTACGAAATAGCCATGCTA